TTGATTATTATATTTAATCTTAACTTTTTGGACGATATTTATTCAAAGAAGACAAAAATATAATTATTTACAAGGATAATCACAGTTAATTTCTTTTATAGATATACTTAATCAATTTGATGCGTACTTCCAGTACACCGAATACGTCGGAAATTTATCTCAAAATGGCACTGGCTACCCAAAATGCTAATATTCACATCGTCGAATTATTAATTGACAAATTTTTCAGCAGGTAATAGATATAAGATTATTGAATGTAATAATAATTAATATTTAGAATAATACGTACACATATTTTATGCATTTTTATGTTTTAATATATAATACTATGTTTAACAATTATGAAAAATAGTTCTTGAAGTGCTAGCGTATAATAATAAAAAGATGATTTTTTTTATAGAACATAAAACGTGATTTTAAATATACACACATATGATATAAAATGTTACATAATATTATCACTATAAATTCTTTTTGTCTATTTAAAATTGAATCGTTTTTTTGTTTATTTCAATTTTTCAATAAAATTATATTTTAATATCATATTTATACTCGCTAGAACAGAATTATCGAGTATTGCAAAAAATTTGAGCAATGAGTTGTTGCTGATGGCAGCGAGAGCGTATCTGCTTTGGAACTTCCCCGGCGTTGCAATGCATCCCAGCGCATATTGCAATTTATCAGTTGTCAATAAATCGCGATGGAAGTAAATAAGTAGATAAGCGCTTAAATTAAAGATAAATAATTAATACGATTTTAGCGCTTTTGTTTTATTTCTGTAGTAAAGCGGGGAAACGAGATTGCTTGCCGGAAAAATTAGTTACGATCGACCCAACGATCGATTTACAAGCGACAGATGTGCATTGTCAAGCATTTCTAGGATTTTTAATACAGGAAATATCCAAGAATGCAACGCAAATTTATAGTTTGAAGGATGCATTGGACAAATTTTGTCCGAGGTATACATATACTTACGAGGTATATACAAAACGTTGTCATATATATTTGTGAACTCTTGTCTTTTTAGGATTGATAACTGTGCCGAGGTACGAGTACTTGATTTAAAATCGCACTGTTCAGTCAATGCTTTCGATTGTCCTACTGTGTATACGTCTGGAAAATCTTGGGAACTTACAATATAATCCAATTACCTACTTAGTGTTAGTTATATAAGTCAAGATATAATTTTCATTTCATGGAATTTAATTTAATCTTTCCGAAACATAAATATAGAAATAAAGAATTAATAAAAAAATCTGCAATGATTATATTTTGATGACATGAAAAATGAAACTATTATGAAATTTAAAAATTATATGTTTCTGAAATAAACATGTTTTTAATTTTTAAGAATCAACATATGTATGATATTCGTTTGAAAACATCTATGAGAAAAACGTGTATACAGTATAGAAATACGAAATTCGGAGAATAGTCAGAAATTTAAATTTTTATCGATTTCCGTTATTTTTGACGTTTATCATCATTGTTTATATTTTGAAGATTCGGTGTTCGTAGAGCCACACAATATCCAGCCATGTCCATACTTCTGTCACTGAATATAAAAAAATTGAAGTATATATTATATAATATATAGAGAGTTACGCATTTCTCGGCGCGCGTGTATAAACAATAATAAGATTGAAAGACCGCTAATGTTAAACATAATACTTTAAATTGAGAAGCCCATAACGGTCAGAACGTTAAGATGTTGAACTATTGTAAATTCATTTAAATGAATTAATTTCAGAAATGATGATTTTAATAAAAGTTCTACTTTGACTGAAATTATTTCTATTTATACTTGATTAGTACTATAAAGATAGCTCGTCTATTTTATTGTGAACAGAACAGATATATATATATATATATGTATTAGATTTCTGTTTGCAATAATTGTTTCTCCATAAAAAATGGAAGACGGATAAAAATATTTACAGAGCAATAGAAGAAGTCCTGCAGTATAAAGTAATGCGGTTTGTATTTGAAGATGTTCGAAGAAATACCAGATCATTATGATCACATCACAGAAATCGCACGCCAGCTCGGCTAAAAAGAAACCTATGAAAGGCAAACTAAGTTGCGGCTGCTTCTAAAATGCGTAATAATCAAAATGAAATTGAAGCATAGAAAAGTATATAAAAAACTAGATATATCAGTTGATAATAATCTTGTTTACCATTAAAATGGAATAAATAAGCATGCCAACCGTAACTACAGATAGTATGGTGCGTGAGACGGAATAGCCAAAACTAAATGTCAAGACGGCCTTTCTAGAGGGAAAACCGCGAAGAATCTGCCCATTCTGCAAAACATTGTATTCCGTTGATCCGTAATAGCACAAAATCAATATCAATAATGCCAATGACAGTGCTCTGATTATCTTGAAACCTTCGTGGTAAAAAAACGTTTTCTTTTTCAGCGATTTCTCATCTTTCTCGATTATTTGGGAATGAGTCTTAAATAAATGAGATGATATTTTAGTTTCAGTTAGCTGTAAAAAAATTAATAAAATCGTGAAAAAGAATTCGTTTTTCAAAAAATTGAATACCCATACAGCACAGTGAGATTGCAAAATGATTGCAGATATATCTCATTGCAATTGTTATAATACAGCAAATAGATTGCGCAATATATTTGTAATATTGTTGCAATGTCAGCATCATAAAAATGTCCGGCTTCAGCAAGATTGCGCTGTAATGTCGTAGCAATGGTGCAGCGCAATGTATTTGTAACTATATCATTAAAAATAGTTCTTTTATTATTATTGAATATAATTTGAAATACAATTTGTAATATAAATAAAAAAAATACAGAAAAAAAATTAAACAATATATACTTTATATTATATATAATTTTATATATAATTTTATATTTTATACATAATTTTATATAATTATTATATTTTATATTTAATTGCAAATATTTTATATGCAGGTATATATATATATATTTTAAAGTTTACGTATATAGGGTGTATCTGA